CAGAAAAATGCCGCCAGACAGCTCCGAAAATAAATCGATTCAATTCAGTCGTCTCCGTTTGACTGGAGTGCCAAGCTGCGATTCGCTTGCCAGCAGCCTGTTATAAGTCACCGTCTGGACGCATATATCGGGTCACGCCGGGCGCCCGACGAGCGGCGCTCCATCTGCGCCAGCGTGGCCACGTCTGCGGGGCGCCGGCGGCCGTCTTCCACGTCCATCGGGCAGATGCCGCCGGTTGACGCGGCGTCCGCTAGGCCGGGAACCGGCCCGGGCGCGGCTGGCACGCGGCCGTCGGCCCCGTGCCAAGCGGCCGTCCAACACCGTCCGAGACGGGCGCGACGGACAATGAAAACGGCGGCGCTAAAGGGCGGCCGAGCGGCAGCGGGCGCCAGCCGCATCGCCGCGCTCCGTAAAACGGCCGATGATTGAAGCCCGTTCGGCGGCGGCGACGTGCCAGACTGCGCCGTACGCTTCCGCTGTGTTGTGATTTGGAGGCGTTTCTGTTTGGCCTGTGGCGGCTGAGGGCGGGCTGACTTGACCGTCGGACCAGATCTTAAAGTGACGGCCCAGCTCGGGGAGGTGTGCAGCTGCCGCCATCCGCACGCATAAAGTCTACCACGTCGGTGTTAAGTCGCGCGAATAGGAATGATGCTGCTGTGCTGCTCCGATGCCTCAATAACTTTTGGATGTCAGGGTGTTTACGCGTAAGCCCATCGCAGCGCTCCGGCCCGCCGAACGCTGGCAGTCTCCTGCTGCGCGCCTGGGCGTCGGTCCAAATTGTCCCATCGCCTGACATTTTGATAGCCGAGTGATTAGTTCCGCTATACTTTAACGGCCGCCCTGACTGTACAAACTGATCCGAGCTGGCCGCATATCGCTTGTCTGCTCCGTTTACTTGGGGCTGTGATGGGGATTCGAGCTGATCGTTGTCCTCTCCGAGTCCTGACCGTGGTAATCTGGCGATCGGACTGCTCAAGGGGTAGCTCAAGTAAGCTCGCTGGGGAGGCTTGGATGGATGACTCGTGCGCGGTATGTGTCGTGGGTTTAGGACTGAGGAATATAGACCAGGTGGAGGAACTTGTGCTTGCCGATGTCCGTTCTCATTGGAATGCAGTGCCGTGGCCGGTTTGTGGCGGTTAACTCTGGAGTGATATCCCTGATGAAAATGCTGGCTTGTTCCATGGAAGAAGCATTTGCACAAAGCCCGTGAATTGGACGTGGAAAGGGATCGTCGGATATGATGTTTGACATATCGCATTTATATTTTATCCAACTGGTACATTATAATACGCCATGGCCACTGTAACCACCGCGACTGGCCTTTTGTTCCAATTGCTTAACTTCAATATCCGACGTTGGCGACCGATATCAACTTTACAACCGGTCAAATGAACTTCAATTACGGCGACCCATGGAGTTGGGCTCCAGTTTCAAATACAAAGTTGGCCGCTTGATCAGCGTGTAAGCTGGCTGTAGCCGGTTTCCAGAGCTATGGGTTTTAAAAGAGTATCAGGTCATGTTCCGAGAACTGACGGAAGCAGACCTCTCGCGACGCTGCTGAGTTGATGCGTTGAAACCTCATCGCGCAACAAACTCGCCCCGGGCTGCTCAGATCGTTAACTTTGAACGGCCCCATGAAGTTCCGAGTGTCCTGTCGACAGCGGTCCGTCAAATGATGAGACATCACTGTCGGGGTGCCGACATCCCAGAGCCGTCCCGTGCCACGGCCGCTTGTCTCCCGTGAAGCTGTCCCCGCGCGCTGATGACCCGGCCCGCGATGTTCTGGTCGCAGCTCGGGCCTCCCCGCGTGCGTCGCCTTCCTTCTCACGACGATCGCCTGAAGCGCCGTCCGGCGCGGCCGTGACGCCGGGTCCGGTGCCGCCCGGCGGTGTCCGTGCCGCGTGACCGGATCCGGACCCGGACACTTCGGCGGCGCCCGGAGCCGGGGCCGGCGCGTGTGGCGACCGCCCGTGATTGGACGGCGCCCCGGCCAGACCGATGGCCCGTCACTGCAGGCCGCCGCGGATTTATAACGTTCGATGGGCCGACAAATCCGGCGGCCCGGCCGGCGCGCCGTGATTTCCGCAGCGACCGATGCTGCCGCCGACTGCCGTCGCCACTGCGGGCGGCGGCACGCGGTGTGAGCGATCGTTCACGGCGGCTCCGTCCGCCGCTGGTGGACTCGTCGACAGCGATGGAGTCGCCCGCCGCCGCCGATGGAGTCTCCATACGCTGCCGATGGAGTCGCCTGACGCCGCCGATGGATCGCCTGACGTCGACGGAGTAGCCTGGAACAGCCGATGGGGTCGCTTGACGCTGCCGATGGAGTGTCCTAACGCTGCCATGCCGTCGATGGAGTCTCCCGACGCTGCCAACGGAGTCGCTTGACACCGCCGATGGAGTCGCCTGACGCGGTCGACGGAGTCGCTTGACACCGCTGATGGAGTCGCCTGACGCGGTCGATGGAGTCGCTTAACGCTGCCGGTGGAGGCACCCGTTGACTGACGGTCTGGCGGTGGGCACTGAGTGAGCTCGTGGGGTGTCATCAGTGGGCTGAGCTAGTGACAGCGGCGTCAGCGCGGTGGCGCCAGGTGACGCCACTGGGGCGACGGCGCCGCCACAAATGGAGTCATTTATAGACCGGCGCATGTCCAGCATGCCAGCAGGGGGAGTCGTTAGGCAAAAATGGCCTGCTCATTGCTCCCGGGAGCTAATTTTGGGTACGTGGAGTGACTGTGCGCTGAAAATCGATACAAAGAATGACAACGGGTTGCTGCGGCTGGTGGTGTTGCCATGGCACAGTTCCTTTAGCAGAGCCCGTGAAGGTATACCTGCGGCGTCTGAACACTTTTCAGAGGGCGCTGAGCACCATCATAGTGGTCGCTGCTAGGCCAGACCCCTCCAAGTGCAATTTCCGAGCGGCCGTCGATGTGCAGTCCCTAGGCGATTCCGCGGAGTCCATTCTTGGTGCCGGTGGGAGCTGGGCACTTGAGACACTTGAGGGCGCCTACGGCCCGGGTATCAAAGCTCGCAGCTAGGACACAATAGCGCCGTCGAGTCGTGATTACCCTCTGCCCTCTGGAAGCGTACGCTCTGCAGGGTCACATAAGCGGCCGCGTTTAGGGTCGCTCGAGTGCTCTGCTGCTCGCGCCGGTCTGCGTTCTGTGTGAGCGGCCAGTGCGGGGTCGACCCATCGGGGGCGGGTGCGTGCCGGCGGCCGTGCCCGTTCGGACCGAGTCGCCGCCGGCCATCAGAGGCGGTGGGAGGCACGCGCCATCTGCACGCTGTCCCCACCGACCCTGCATGGCAGGCGATCTCGCGGTGCGCAGGGACGGCCGCGGTGCGCCGGGGCGGCAGCGGTGCGCTGAGACGGCGGCGGTGCGCTGAGACGGCGGCGGTGCGCTGAGACGGCCGCAGTGCGCCGGGACGGCGGCAGTGCACCGGGATGGCCGCGGTGCGCCGGGACGGCGGCGGTGCGCTAGGACGGCGACAGTGCGCCGGGACGGCCGCGGTGCGCGAGGACGGCCGCAGTGCGCCGGGACGGCCGCGGTGCGCGAGGACGGCCGCGGTGCGCTGAGACGGCCGCAGTGCGCCGGGACGGCCACAGTACACTGGGACGGCCGCAGTGCGCCGGGACGGCCGCGGTGCGCGAGGACGGCCGCAGTGCGCCGCGAGATCGCCTGCCATGCAGGGCCGCGGTGCGCTGGCGCTCGACGCACACCTGGCGGCGCGGCGCCGGCCGGCCGGACACTTAACGGGACGGATGGGAATCGATAGCGGCTAGCCTGTTGTGGCGCCGCGCCGCCCGGCTGAGTTATGCGCCCTCCCGAGGCATCGTCTCGGCCGCGGCTGCCTCTTAATCGCGTCAGGAAACAAACAGCCGACCATTTCTTCCGGTTCGGGCTAATTTCCGTTGTTTGTGTGTTTATTTGTGGGGCTGGACGCCTCGGAGCGTGCGGTGATGGCTGGGGCGGTCGCTGGCGTGGTGAGAGGCATGCAGACTTCTAGTTTTTTTGTGTTTTTTTTTTGTATGCTAATATTACCGCCATGGTGTGTCTGTAAGTGACGCCTACTTCGGAAAGGTCCCAAATTCGACGCGATCTGTCATATTGATACGAGACGATGGGACATTGATGGATAGTGATGGCCATTACCCATGGCCCAAAACGCAACTCCCTGATGAATAGCCTGCCTTTTGATGATGTTGGCGATGAGCGCCTCGATTGGGTGGTCTCCAAAGCATCATCCTCTTGAGGTTTATTAAGAAAATGCACTGGGATTGTAATAAACCGATTCCGCCTTTGTTTGCCTATCATGTAGCCATGTAAACTGACATGGTGTGGTATTACACGTCCTTAGAAAGTCGTAAATCCTGAGCGCCTCCGCCTACTAACAGTGGACCGTTAACGGTTGTGACGGACAAACGTGAGCAAAAAATTACACCGCCATCAGCTCTGAACGCTTTGAGATCCTCAGTCTGGGACGATCCAAAGCATGTAATGCGGGGGGGGGAGGTTCGCAATGCATTTATTCCTTTCTGTCTTTCCTTCTGCATTGTCTTCATCTCACTCTCCCCTCCCCTTCCCGTTATCTCCATTGCGCGCCTCACTTTCTCTCCCTCCCAGCTTCTTTCCGCGCTGGCTCTCCTATACGCACAACCCTCTTCATGTTTGTTCCTTGTTCCCTCATCTTGTTCTCCTTGTTCTCCCCATTCATCACTGCTCACTTTCTATGAGGGTCACTTTCAGGTCTTCTGGTTGTTAATTAGCCTTTTCACTTTCTGCCGCTTTGTCAATGTTGTTTTGCTCTCGATTCGGGTTCTCTTCAAGTCGAAAATGTTAACCCAAGTTGTGCGTTCTTTGACTGACTGGAGGATAACAGCGACCATTCCGCTGCGGTCGGCGACGGCCCGTGTGTCTTACTCGTTCTGTTCCGATTGACAGCGGTCTGCGCACCTGTTGTGGCGTCCCGTGGTCTGACCGAATCCTCTCTGCTTCCAGAGCACGTGAAGGAGCTGACCTGCGGGAAGCTGTACTACCGCACCTTCCACCTGGATGAGCGGCGCGACACGCTCTACGTCGGCTCAATGTGAGTACATCAGCCGAGTTGCAGCTGGCTGAACAGCGGGCCGGGCCGCTGGGCCGGTCAGGGCTGCAGCTGCTGGACGGCGGGTCTCGTTGGGCCTGTCAGGGCTGCAGCTGCTGGACGGTGGGTTTCGCTGGGCCAGCCGGTGCTGCAGCTGGCTGGACAGCTGGTCTTGCGCGGCCGGCCGGGGCTGCAGCTGGCTGGACAGCGGGGGGTTGGGGCGGTGCGCTGCCGTGGTACCGCTTGGAATGAATGTAGAGAGATCCCAGTACACCATCAGCGGTTGGTAAGCTCGTGGCGGCGGTTGCATTGATCGGAGGCGACCGAGCTCGCAGGTGACGCCTTCACCGCCAATGGCGGCTGCGCCACTATTGTCGGCTCCTGCCGTCCGGTGACCTCCGCGAGAGGGGGCGGATGGGGTTGAGTCACGTGTCATGGGTCACAGGCCAGGACACAAGGCGGCAGCGGCTCGGTAGACTGGCATGAGTCGCGCTCGCACCGACCCCACCGGAGTATTGAACCGAGTGGGTGCGCTCTGGTGGGCTGACAGATGCGAGACGGCCGATCAACTGTATCAGTTCCCTTGTTCGCCCCGGTTCGCCGATCTTAGGGCTGACCGTATAGCCAATCGCACGTGGAATCCTCGGGCTTGTCAGCGGCTGCGAACGAACCACAGTCGCCATTCCAATCTGAAGCCGGTGGCGCGCCGGGCGCTGGCTTCGCAATTGTGCGACCGGGTGGATCGTCCTGACGCGCATGCGCAGAGGCGGCGTGAAATTCCTCATCGGTGGACGTGATCTGCCTGAAACTCCGCCCGTCAGCACACCGCCGTGGTCTAGAAATGCGTTATTATCCTTGGCGAACTGACAAGCGCTAGACGATCGGAATGTGCTGATGCGTTTTCTGGGTGGCGATGGAGAACGATGCGAATCGTTTATCTGACACAGCTCTGGGATGCCTGCAAGCTTGCATGTTGGTACAAACATTCCTAGTAATGGAAAATCCGCGAGCAGAAGTCGTTAGTAACTGTAGTTCCAAATTCATGGGGCTGCAGCCTCCATTCGTACGGAACGATACAACTTTCCTGTTCAGACAAGACTCTGGACTGAGTGCCGGCCTGTCCGCCATTTGATGGCCCGGTGTATCAGTCCGGTGCCACGTGTGACATCACACGCGTCGCGGCCGTGTCAGCCGGCATGATCTGCCACTCGGCCGCTGTGTCGAGAGTGCCTCTCCGCCGGCAGCCGGCCATCCCGTCCCCATTATGCGGCCAGTAGTCAATATTGGCGACAACGGGCCGGGTTAATGGATAAAACGCGGCGTCCAACACATGATACGGATGCTTTTAGCGGCCGGCCGAGGTCCGAGAGTCATCTAATGGGCAGGACGGCCGGCGGCGTCCCGGCGGTCTGACCGTCGCCGGCTGAATGACCGCAAACACGCCCCGCGGGCATCGGATGTCGGCGCCGGCCGAGTGCCGAGTGGCGGCCGGAAGGGAGACGGATCGAGCCCGCCGCTGACGATGCTTCGTCCGGAGTCGGCCGAGGACCGCGGGAGGCTCCCGTCAGCCGGGAACCGCGGGAGGCTTCTCAGTGGCGGGGAGTCGCAAGGAGGCTTTCTTCGGCCGGAGACCGCTGGAGGCTCCCCTATCGCCGGGAGCCGCGGGAGGCTCCCGTCAGCCGGGAACCGCGGGAGGTTTCTCAGTGGCGGAGAGTCGCAAGGAGGCTTCCTTCGGCCGGAGACCGCGGGAGGCTCCCCTAAAGCCGGGAGCCGCGGGAGGCTCCCCTGCCGTCGGGAGCCGCGGGAGGCTCCCATGAAGCCGGGAGCCACGACGGCCACGTCTCGCGCTGTCGGAACCACGTCGGAGCGGCTCCTCGTGCGCTCGGAGCGCTCTCTCGTCTCAGGCGGCTCGGGCGCAGGGACGCGGCGCTGACTTAGCTGCGACAGCCATCGTAAAACAAACGGATCGGCGCCGCGCGCGGCGAAGGCGGCGCCCAGGGCCGCCGCTATGCAGATGGGAGGGGCACGCCCGCCGCGCGATACCTCCGAATGTCTTCCTCCCTCGTGGGAGCCGAGGCGGCGGAGGGCCTCCCGCAGCGCCCGTGATTTATACCGGCCAACTGATTCCGGAATGAGTTTCATACGGCCGTAAATCAGAATGGATCAGAAGATTATTGGAAGGCACCGGAGGCGGAAAATGTATATAATGGCCGGATCTGGCCGGGCGGAAATACCGAGCTGAGTGGGTGCGGTCGGTCGAACAGCCGAACTGACCTGCCGAACGGCCAGTGAAACGCATCTTCCTCGTGCTGCGGGGGTCGCCGCCGTTCCGCGCCGCCGGTGCAGCACCGGCAGTGAGTGAAACTGTCCGTCGGGCGGCAGACAATGACTTGCTTATCTGCCGGCGGTTAAATACATTCAGCCGCACTGTCGGAGGAACGACTCCGATCTGGGCACGTGCGCCTCGCATTATCTGATCCTCAAGTTTGAATGCCCGTAGATCGAAGGTAATGGCATCCATTCGACGTCGCGCTGTCTTGCAGGCGCCCGCTTCGGCGGCACCGCGGTCGCCTCGAGCGAGCGAGCTTGAGCGGCGGCGCGTCAGGGGCCGCCTGGCTGAGCCGAGGCGTCTCGGCGGCGGCGGCGCGGCCGGGACCGGTGGGCGGACAGGCCGAGGTGCGGCGCCCGCAAAGTCAAATCTACGCGCACATTATGGATTCGCGTCAGGCACGTACTACAGTGCTTGCGGGCGCGCGCGCGAGACGTCGCTGGCGATGCCTCTTCCGCTGCCTCTCTCCGGCTCTAATGGACGGATCGGGTAGGCTGTGACGTAGCGGCGCTTGGACGGCAAGTGAACTTGTGCACTTCCCTGAGAATGACACAGCTCTGCGGCTGCCTTAGCCGGAGAAGCGGCTGCAGGAGGGGCGCCGCCGCCGAGGTGTCGATCTGGAGCCGCCCCTGGTCCGGCTGGACATCATTTGGCAGCACATCGCCAGCCGGAGGGCGTGAGGCGGCGGCGGCGGACGTGCACGTCCGGCGCCGGGAGTGGTGTCGCCGGCGCCGCGACGCACCAATCCCCGCCCCGCTGCGAGGGCGGCGCCTGACGAGCGCGGCGAAATGAGGCGGCCGCCGCCGGCGCGCCGCGAACGCGCCGCGGGTGGCGGTCGACCGGCGGGATCATGACGCGCCGTGGTCGCCGTCGTGACCAGACGGCCGTCGATATGTCGTGATGCGGCGGACGCGGGTCGTGTCTGCCGTGGGCTGGGTTTTTCCTGCCGCCGGACGGAGGGCCATTGGCCGTCATCCGTTTGCGGTACAGCTCACAGCTGCCCACCCACTGTCAGCGCAGCCAGACGCTGTCCGGGCGGGCCGAAGTGTTGGTGAGGAGGCCGGGTCGGGCTCCTCTGAGGTGAGCCACGAGCCGGAGCAGAGGCATAGGCAGTACTGGAGCTGTTGGGCTGAGCGGGACGGGTCACTGATATGGGGCAATAAGGTCAGATCAAATGAGACACCGAGAGCGGACCCGAGGCCGTGCCAGACTCGAGCATGAGGCCGGACCCTAAGATCGGGCTAGACCAGACCCTAAGGCCAGAATATGGAGAAGGGCCATGAGACTGGAGACTCTTGGATCCAGAAGCTGCACCTTGAGACTGGACCCCAAGCCTGGAGCCCGAGACTCGAATATGAGACCGAAGTCAAGGGCCAGGACCTTAGGCCGGGATCCTGAGGGAGGGGCCCGGGTCGGACCTTCAGGGCGGGCCTCATCACCGCTCACACCGCACCGCCAGCCGCCCGCCGCACGTTCAATCCTGGCGCGTCGCTATCGCTTCTGCCAGCCGCCACACAGCCGGCTGCCACACAGTCGAGCCCCTTGCCGCCACCTTTCCCATCTGTTTTACGGCGGTACTCCCCGATGAGACCGGCTCTATTATCCCATTTCTCGACGCCATCGACGAATGGTCAGATTCTATTTCGCGCCTGAGTTCGCCGCCGGTGGGCGTAGTCGCCTGCGGCACATCGTGCCAAGATTGGTCGGGATGCTGTCAGCGGGGTTGCCGATCCCCGAGCCGCCCTTCTCGCCCGCTGGCCCTCCGGGAGAGGTCAACGGTTGACCCTCCAGGAGAGGTCAGCGACTGGCCCTCCAGGAGAGGTCTACGGCTGACCCTTCAGGAGAGGTAGCGGCTGACCCTTTAGGAGAGGTCAGCGGCTGGCCCTCCAGGAGAGGTCAGCCGCTGACCCTCCAGGAGAGGTCAGCGGCTGACCCTCCAGAAGAGGTCAGCGGCTGACCCTCCAGGAGAGGTCAGCGGCTGACCCTTCAGGAGAGGTCAGCGGCTGGCCCTCCAGGAGAGGTCAGCAGCTGACCCTCTAGGAGAGGTCAGCGGCTGACCCTCCAGGAGAGGTCAGCCGCTGACCCTCCAGGAGAGGTCAGCCCCTGACCCTCCAGGAGAGGTCAGCGACTGGCCCTCCAGGAAAGGTCAGCGACTGGCCCTCCAGGAGAGGTCAGCGGCTGGCCCTCCAGGAGAGGTCAGCCGCTGACCTTCCAGGAGAGGTCAGCCGCTGACCGTTCAGGAGAGGTCAGCAGCTGACCCTTCAGGGGAGGTCAGCGACGCGGCCGCGAGCGGTTTTACTCTGCCGATGCTGGCCGGCCGTTATCTGGCCCCGAAGCCGGCCGAGAAATCACCGCCGATTTATTTTCCAAATTAGTCTCGGCGCGGGCATCACTCGGGCTGAGAGTTCCGCGAAGGTCCGACTGGCCCAGCGCTGCAGGCCTGGCGTCGCGCTCTGGCAAGGGTCGTGCATTTTTAAGGGCGCGCACACGCCGTGCGGGTTGGCGGAAGACAAACGGCCAGATTCGAACCCGACGAGGCCCGTGGCTGCCGCTGCTGCTCGTCAAGAGTGCGGAGCCCTGGGCTGTGCGCCCCTCATCGACCCGCCGCATACGGCGCGTATGTGACTTCCGTCCTGTACCTCACGTGCAAGGCACGTGCGTCTTCAGCTGCGCT